TACAAAAAACTATTATTTATGTCAGTTTCTTTTACATTAAATCATACATATCGACTATCCCAGTCAATAGTATCACTTTTACAAAAGTGAATGTTTCAGGAGAGCGATTTTTCTGTTTTTCGTGAATTACAGCCATATGGGAAACTTTAGTATAGGAAGTGTATTATATATTTTGAAGGTAAATATTTTGAAACCAAATTCATTGTAAAAATCTTGAGTTAAATGAACTCAAGATTTAAAATAAATTGCAAGAAGATACGAAGCGAAAACCTATTTGTAATAGTCTTATTCGGAAAAATTTTAAAAATGTTTATTTCAAAGTCGTTTGGAATAGTTTTATTTGTCATAAATTCGGTTTATTTCTATAACAAAAAATTTTGTAATACTTTTATTTGGAACATTTTTTCATTTCAGTCTACCAACGTCCAAAGAAATTATTTTAGCTGGAAAATAAAAAATTTTACTTATAATAAAATTTGATAAAAAAAAATTAATTAAAATCTTCATTTTATTCAACACAAATAATTCATTTTTTGAATATTGATAAAAAGAAAGATTGACAAAATATAAAATTAAATTATAATTTTAATGTTCTTCGTCGCCTTCTTCTTCTGCTTTAAGATTTTCACAGTTAATATGCGGCAAATTTTTGTAAAAATATGAAGTATTAACGTAATTTTTAGTACAAAGAAATAACAAATCATCATATTTGGCGTAAAAAATTGGTAATAAATTATTATATTGTAATGGAATTTCAGAATTTAAATCCACGTATTTTTTTGATATTCTGATCCTTTGTGTACGATTTATAATTGCAATACATTGATAATTTTCTGCTTCAAAAATGAGATTACATGTATTTTTAACGAAATCGAGAAGGTTTGATATTACTTTAAAATTTAAAAAAATCATTTTGTGTTATTTCTATGACAATATAAAATGGAGAGTTAATTTTGGAACATCTTATAAGGGAATACCATTGCTCTGGCACAAAAACATCCGTACCTTTTTTCCTTTTTTCGATGTTTGCGTGAACGCTATCCCCTTCATTTTGTGTGTGGCCCTTTTCTAAGTATATATGGGTTATGCTTACGTTATATTTATTTGCAGCCCAAGCATGAAAAGAAAATAAAGTTTTGTTGCGATTTTGGCCAGCACAATTGCCTGACCAAAAATAGAACTCATTACAGCCTTCTTTTGTCTTCATTTCAATATACTTTTTTAAACAGCTAAAAACTTCGACCTTTTTTCGCAATAATTTCATGCCATACGTAGCAATATCCCGTTTTACTTGCCATACTGTATATTGTGAAGTTGTAAGTATTGTACTTTCTTTTATAGTAAAAAACCGAAGTTTCAGCTTGGGGCGTTGACAGAATTTTCTGGAAATCAAATACACCTGTGTCTACGTTCTGGTTTTCTTCTGCCTTTTTTTTTTATCTTTTATTTTTAACTTTCGAGAATTATTTTTGTTTGCTAAATGTTGAAGGTGAGCAGATTTGATTTTTACTTTACTTTTCTGAGAATCACTTAAATTATCGCAGGCCATACAAGTATCACACTGGTCCTTTTTCGGTCCAAAAAAACCTACGTTAAATTGAATGTTAAATATATCGCGGTATTGCCTTTCAGTTATTTTGCATTCCTGATTTTTTTCTTCAAACGAAGTCTTGAAAAGGCGATACATTTTCGGTACATTTAAGTCTCCATCAATATAGGTTTTTGTAACTGATTTTCTCAAGTAATGCGATTCAACAAGAAATGCTTTGATGTGTTTCACTATTGCTTCCTGGTTTTTAATAACATCATCTTTTAAAATCCTGACGTGAAGTCCCCTTTTATCATTGACTAATGGTCCATCTCCATCTTGTATCTTTCGATAATTCGTTTCAATCCATTGGGAATTTATATCAAGCGTATTGAGAAACATTATTCTACAAACTATTTCCTTTTTGGTTCTTTCAGCAGAAAATATGTTTAAAAAGTTGTGCTTATTTCCAGATCTTTCATATTTTCTTATAATTTCGCAGCTCTGTTTTTGCTGACAAAGCGTAAAATTAATTATAAAATTCCACTGCCTATATTTATTTTATAATTTTCAGAAGTTTTCGAAATTTTTCTGACGATCAATCTCATTTATTTTTTTAAAGCATTCTATTTTGCAACTACATGTTTTTTTCATTTTTCTTTCTTTTTCATTATTTATCTTTTCTTTTTCATTATTATATCACATTGCACTTTTCCATTTATTTTCTAAAACCGGTCGTTTTTTGGAAGTTTTTTCTTGAACATTTTCGTTTCGCTGTTTTTTTTGATTTCTTACAGGACGTTTTTCTGATTCTTTGGCCGTGAGGTGGTGCCTTACACCCTAAGTCTGAATCTGAGTCTTAACAATCAAAAGGCGGCAAATATTCACTACCGCTATTTTGAAATCTAAATTTTTTTTAAATAAAGACAACATAATATTACATTAATTGTTATAATATATTTTATTAATTTACAAGAAAAAAGTTATACCAAGTAAATTTCGTATAAAATTAGGTACATAATATCGAAAGTGCTTTGCTTATAGATATGGTTCTCCATAATTTTCAATTAAAAATTTCAAACATTTCAACAATAGTGACTTTTAATTAAAAATTCAGTGTTATATTTTAAATTATAGTATTTCTTTAAAATGTTACTAAAGAAGTAGTTAAAAAAAGTTAAAATGCTAATTTTCTGTTTTAATTGTTTTTAATTTTTTAAACAAAAAATTTATTGAAGTTAAATCAATTTTTAATGCCGTAACGACTTTTAAATTTCAAATTCAATTTTAATTTTTGACTTTTTTGAATATATAACGAATATTTAATTTATAGGTTTTATACGGAATAATAAACGTTTGTAGTTTTATATATGTATGTACGCACGCAAACATTTCATTTTAAAAGCTGTACGACTATCGCAGTGAAATTTAAAAAAAAATCTTTTTGGAGTAATTTACAAACAAGATTTATTGCATTTAGGATCATATTATTTCTGTAATAATTGAAATCTCAATATTTGTGGTCTTGCACAAATATTGAGAAAATATATAAATTTTTGGACAATTTATTGAAAGCAAGAAAAAAAAACTGTTTCTAAAATAACCATTACTGCAAGTCAATCACAAAAGTTTCAAATCATTTTGTCTACATAATGTTTTCATATTGAACTATACGTATCTAGGTAGATACATAAATTATTATAAGTATACGAATTTATGCAAGAAAAATTATGTTAAAAATTAAAAACAAAACGTCTTCAAGATAACGGTCAATTTGTCAGCCATTTTGCCATACTGACATATACCTGGCCTTTTTTACCGTTATTTTTTATACGGTATTTTTGAAGTCAAACGCAGTATATGTTTATGATTCTGAACTGACAACATTTGTTATGATATGACCGATACCTACACGTACTGTAACAAGTAACATAATACGTCAAAAACGAATCTTTTTTTGAATGTTAAAATAATCTGAATTAAAACTTACCTTGTAAACTTTCTTTTCCTCACTATAATTTTCCAAATATATGATTTTTTACTTTTCTGAAACAGCCACCACTGGACCATCTGATTAGAGAAATTATATTTTCGTTTCAAACATTTGGCAAAGTTAGGTATATATTATAAAATATATTATAAAATAACCTAATAAAGGTTCTTGCTGAATATTTTTATTTTTTAAAATATCTTTCGCCATTTCTAACAATATTTTTTTTTTAATTTAAAAACAAACTTTCTTGACTACTTCACTATATATTTTTCTTTGAAAAAAAGTGCTTATTAGTTTCACTCTGTCCGTCCGTCAGTCCGTCTCCCAAAAACCCTAAAAATGGCATTTTTTAACTATTTGTTGCAATGAAACCATAAGCATTTTTGAAATTTTGCAAACTCAAAAAGACAGCGGCTTGTTTCCCCTAGCGCGATATACTATAGTTAAACTTTAGAAAAACAAAATGACCGTTCAAATTTACCTTTATCTAAAGTCCTTTTTTTCGGAATTTTTGATGTCGTTTTTCTTCTAGACCCCAGCCTGTAGCGGCTTGAAATTTTAGGGGCTTTTAGACATTAACAAATAGTTCAAGAAGAAAATTTTTTTCCATCTGCACCCCCTCTCAAGTTATCGCCCCTTGAAATTTGTAAAATTTGAATTTTTGACACCCTATATTTCCAAAACTGCAAGCTTTTTCAAATTTCTATAAACGCAAAAAGTTAACGGTAAACTCCATGACAATAAAAAATATAATTATTTTTCTTAACTCACACAATTAAACCTTAAAATCGAGCATTATGTTAACCCCACTTTATATTAATTTTTGCTTTATTTCAAAGACTGCATATATGCATCATCCTAAATATATGCAATCCTAGAAATAGTTTTGTATATGAATGAAAATATTTTTAATAGTGTGATAGGTATGCATAGACTGTATTTAAAACCAGAATTTTCACTTGTTGAAAGGAAAAGTGCTACAATACAAACCATTGGTTTGACCCAACTTTATTACTTTTTAACTTCTTTGCTGTGCACACATAAAATCAGAACTGAGATAAAAATTGTCATTTAATAATGATTTTTCTAATATGACAACATCAAATTTTATTGGAAAATAACGGCACTTTTCCAAATTAAATTATTACTAATGCTCATGTGACAACTTATACACATAAAAGTTACGCTTTTGTTATTTTTATATTATAAAAATTTCCGGTTAAGAGTATTACAAAATCATTTGAATTATTTTTATTAAAAAAATTTTCATATAAAACTATTACTTTTGACTTTGTTATACTATTATTTGTGAGATTTTTGGAAATGCAAAAAAATTAAAACATAACTTCGGCCATAACTTCGGCCCCAACTGTCCGATTAGGCTGATTTTTTGTTGAGATATGTATTTCCATACGGGCTTTCTAAATATGCATCATATTATTAGTATCACAAAGTCACAAGTCATACTATTACTTGGGATGATCGATATAGTATATGATTTAATTATAGTTATGTAAACTTTCATTTTTAATTTATAAATGCGTGAAAAGAAATTTTACTTAAGTCAATGGACATTGGATATAATAAATAAAAATTAATAAAAGGAAATATATTAAAATTGGTGATTCCTGATCTGCATAATGCATACACTCAGACTTTGAATGAAGTCTCTCTAAAGTATAATGATGATAAGGGTTTGTATTAAGTGATAAAGTTAATACTTATGCATAGGATCACTATAAAATATTAAAATAAAGAAAAAAATTACTTTTTGTGTTTTTATTTCTTACTAAAATACAAAATGTTTTTAATCAAGATGATTAGGAACATAATATTCTTAAGTTTTATCACACTTTTTTTAATTTAACCACAGAAAAATCTTTGCAGAAAAAAATATAAATTAGATATATTATTTTAATAATTTATTAGTTTAACCTGAAAAATTAAGAAAAATTTAAGAAATTCATTTCAATAAAAAGAAAGTGCCTACCATTGAAGACATCACTATGCAAGGCTATACAGATGAAGGCTTTCCCAAGAATTACCAACTTATAGAAGCTACTGGTAGTGGGAAAGTATTCACCATATTTTAAAAATGATTTCCTAAACACTTGTTATCAGTATCACAAGGAAAAAATCATGTGCGAACGATGCTTCAAAAATTGCGTCGAGGCAAACATTCACGAGGGTGAGTTCAAGAATTACACAGCAATCTACTTTACGGTAGAATGTGACAGCAAGGAGGAAGCGAGGAACTTCATTATGATGTATGGTCCTTATTGTTATGTGTGCAACAAAGTCTCGAAAGAGATGATTAAACTTCTTCGTTGCGCTGAAGTATACAGAGTTATGTAAATTTATTAAAAAAAAGGAAAAAAATAAAAACAAAAAGTTAAAAAAAAATTTTTCTTTTCATTTATATTGATAACCCAATAGATGTTTCATTAATATCTGATGATTCAAATATTGGTTATATCTTAGAAGTATATTTAGATTATCCCAAGGATCTTCATGATTTTCATAATGACTTACCCTTTTGTCCTGAAATTAGTACCTCTCCAAATGGAAAAACAAAAAAATTATTAACTAATTTAAACAATAAGAAAAATTATGTAATCTACTACAGAAATCTTAAGCAGTGTCTTAAAAATGGATTGATTTTGAAAAAAGTACATAGAGTTAAAAAAATACATTGATTTAAATACTAATTATAGAACAAATACCCAAAATTCTTTTGAAAAAAACTTTTTCAAATTAATGAATAATTCCGTGTTTGGTAAAACCATGGAAAATGTTGATAACAGAAGACTAGTGTATATTGCTGATTCATGGAAAGCAAAAGAAGACACTTAGGACTTAGAGTTCTAATAGCAAAACTTAATTTTAGTAGCGTTTCAATTTTTAAATCTAATCTAGCAGTAGTAGAATTAAATAAAACAAAAGCAAATTACAATAAACCAATCTATATAAGTTTTACGATCTTAGATCAATCGAAAATTTTAATGTATAACTTTCACTATGATTTTATGAAACCAAGGTTTCAAAATAATTTAATGCTTAATTATATAGACCAGTGATGAGCAACCTTTTAAATTGGGCTAAATGAGAAAAAGCAATCGTTTCCCGGGCCGCAGTTATAGCAGATTTATTTTTAGTTTCAGTAATAAATAATTTCAAGGCATTTAGTTATTTTAAATGTTTATTGAGTGTATCTTAGATATTATAATTATTTTCTTAAACTTAAAGAAATTATTATAAAAATAGTGATTGAAAAATTATAATAAGAAAAAATAAAAATAAGTATTAAAAGTTTTAATGAGAAATTTGACACTGCTTCTTGTCGACTAGTTTAGAAATATTTCCGGGTGTATTAGAAACTGTGACACGTAAACAGCTTTCCAAACTTTCGTCATTCAATCGATTTCGAGCTGAGTTTTTATAATTTTCATTTTTGAAAAAAGCTGTTCGCAAAGATACGTACTTCCGAAGAGACTATCCATCTTTCTTGATGGTATATATATTACTAGTATATATATTCTGAGAATTCTATGAGTACTATGAGGGAATATTTAAAAAATTATGTTAATGGTTTTTTACTACGCTTATATTAGTTTCACATGTTTGTCCGTCACGGTGAAATCTTGTGATTGAAAATTTTACCACTTCCCGAGTAGCTAGCGCTCTGGAACTTTCAGGATAGCTCAGAACCCAAGGAAAATGTATATTTTGGCTTCTTTTTTTTGCAGGCACTGATATAGGCACTGATAGTTTTATTTACACAATCACTACAGATGATTTTTATAATGATATAAGGCCATATTTAACAGATTATTTTGACACATCAGATTATGAAAAAGATAACCTATTTAATTTTCCACAAGTAAATAAAAATGTATTAGATCTATTCAAAGATGAAATGAGTGGAAACATTATAACTGAATTTATAGGGTTAAGGTCGAAAATGTATTTCATTGAAACTCTACAAAATAAAAATATTAAAAAAGCGAAAAGAGTTAAGAGGTATATATAGTTAATAATTTAAAGTTAGAAGATTACAAATCTGCTTTACTAAATAATTTAATAATGTATAGAAATATAAAGCTTTTCACATAAAACTATTCTAAACCTACCTTTCAAGCCTTAAGAACTTTTTTAATCTTAAAAAGATTTTGAAATTGACGGCTTTGCTAAGGATTTTAAATTTAATGGCTTTCCTTGACCTCCAATATAAAACACTTAATATATTGCTTAATTTTAAATTTAAAAAAATTTAATTTAACAGCCTTCTTTTTAATCAAGACAAAAACAATTTTACTTGCTTTTAACCGAGGCAACAACCACTCTAGAAATATTGCATACTTCATTCTAAATATTAAATACTTCAATCAATATTACATAGTACATTCTGAAAATTAAATACTTCAATCAATATTTAGAATAAAAAAAATATTTCTTACTTATAGTTTTACCTACTTTTAACCGAGACAACAACTCCTCTTCCAATATTCTACACTTCATTTTAAACAATGAAAAACTAATTCACACTCGTAACTGGGCGTTGTCTTATAAATAAAACTAATTCTACTCGTAACGTGGCGCTGTACTATCAATCATACTTCAAAATGCTTACTTCCATCTTCATCATTGCATACGCGTATGGTCACACTCCCGCTTACTTTTACATAAAATAACAACCACAAGTGCTATCCTAAATGTATGCAATAATAATATATCTAGAACTCCCTTATACTCATATCTAGAACTCCCAAATTCATTATAGCATACGTTTAGGATTACACTTTACTTACAATTTTACCTACTTTTAACCGAGACAACAACTCCTCTACAAATATTCATTTTAAATATTGAAAAACAAATTCACACTCGTGACGTCGTGGCGCTGTCTTATGAATAAAACTAATTCTACTCGCAACGTGGCGCTCTACTATCAATCATACTTCAAAATGCTTACTTCCATTTTCATCATTGCATACCCTTAGCGCTCCCGCTTACTTATTTAAAATAAAAAGATATTTTCTTACTTACAATTTTACCTACTTTTAACCGAGACAACAACCCTTTTACAAAAATATAAATTAAATATTGGAAAACTATTTCACACTCGTAACGTGACGCTGTCTTATAAATAAAACTAATTCTACTCGTAACGTGACGCTCTACTATAAATCATACTTCAAAACGCTTACTTCCATTTTCAGCATTGCAGACGCTTAGGGTCACACTCCCGCTTACTTAGTACACCACAAGTGTTATCCTAAACGTATGCAATAATAATATATCTAGAACCCCCATATACTTTATATGTAGAACGCCCATATACATTATTGCATTCCTTTAGGACGCCACTTTCGGTCTAGAACACCCATATTTTTACTTCTTTCGTTTGTAGCAGTTAACCTATCATCTTTTTTGAAAAATAAATCTGAATAATTTTTTATTATTTCCCCCATCAGGCGACTTTCTTTCTTGTTCATGTGATTTAAATCAAAGTTTCCTAATATTGTCGTTTTATTTGTAATTTCAACATTAAAAATTTTTCTATCTCGAAAGGATAATCGTTATCTATAAATGTTAATTTATTCCCATTTATATTCGAGACATTTTCCTCCAAATCGATTTTTGCTTTCAGTTTACCTAAAATATCTTGCCTAAAATGGCGTAATATGATCTTTTTGATAAATCCATTACTAACCAATCCATGGAACCGTTTAGGTTGAATTCTCTTGGAAATGGAGTAACTAATTTATTCATTACTCGATTAGATCAACTTATAGTAGAGAATACAATCAGTTTCTCCAGCTTTTGATCTGGATAGCTAAATGTATTTCGGTGTGTTATGCTGATAGTCGATCCAGTATCAATCAAGCATTTAATTTTTTTATTTGCTATATTTAATAAAACTATGGGGAGTCTATTTCCAGAGGCCTTTCTGAAAATTTACTTGTTCGTGTTCTATATTACTAATGTCCATGGGTTCCACTTATTGACGAACCCAATTATTATTTTGTTCAGCCTGAGCTGATTGATTATTATTGTTAAAGTTACTATTATTATACCTAAATTGCCCTGAATTCGTTCTATTTCTGAATTGTCCTGAATATTTATTATAATTTCCAAAGTGTCCGTCTGAATTAGATCTTTCGCTGAAGTGATTTGTATTTCGATTTGGGTTCAAATTTCTATTATAATTTGGGTTTCTTACATTAGTTTGGAATCTAAAATTTTTACTACTGCTATCTGATCTACTAAGAAGTTTCCCAAATTCATCTCTAATAATGTCTCTGCAATCAACCAATTCTGCTAGTTCATTTTGTAATTCTTGATATTTATTTATGTATATTTTTAACAAATTTTTGTTCTATACCACCAATCATTCTTTTAATGGCTAACACCAACACGTGATCGATAATTTCTGGTCTAGCGTCTACATTTTTTTATTAGAAAATATAACTCATTTGCTTTACATCTAATATGGTCAAATTCTACAATTAATTCTTCAATAGAACTTACCTTCATATTAAATGCTTCTACTGAAATCTCTGTTACATGGATTTTCGGCTGATATTCGCTTTTTAATCTTTCTTTAGTTTTCGCCCAGTCGCTGCTATCTTCGATGTCCAATATTTTTGTTTTAGCATTCCCCTGAATTTTCTCGTTAAATATGTTTTTGATTATATGTTTAAACGTAAATGGCTCTGGGTTAATGTCATTAATTATGTTCTCCATTGTTCTGATAAATGAAGTGATTGAATATTGTTCCTCGCCATTGAATGGTTTTAGGTAGTTCACTGCCTTTCTAATGTACTCAAGAATGTTGTTTGATTTTAAATGGTTGAGTTCCTGTTGCTGTTCCTCAAGTTTCTTCGCCATTAACTTGTATTGTTGTAACAATATAGAGTCATTTACTTGTGATTGTTGATCCACCGTATTGTTTGGGTTGTTCTCCCATTTTTTGGGGTAAAGTTAGAGGCACTAAATTATTAAACATTTCTGTAATGCACTCACTAATTGTTCTTTCTTTTTTATAATATGGTTTTTCAGTTTGATTTTTATTTTTTGGCATGTATATATTTTTTGTTTCACTATTATGTGTCTACGTAAATTTAAATGTCTTAGTTTTACTTCGTAATTTTAAACAATTTTTTTTTGATATATATTATTTAGATTCGTATCACTAGATACTTAAACTTCGGAAAAGGATCCTACCGACTGCGCCACTTTTGTTTTTATACAATATTTTAATTTAAAAAAAAAATTAATATATTTTTTTTTATTTACTAGTTGTTTTATTTTATTTTATTTTCACAAAACTGAATAAACCATATAACTATTTGTTTTTACAAATTTTTTTTTTTAATCTTTGCAATTTAAATTATTTATAAGTCGTGAGTTAAACAGCAATTCGTCCTAAGACTAGAATACTAGAACTGAATACTCTCTTTTCTTTACTTCTATTTATATTTCTAAAATGAGTTATTAAAATGTAATTAGACAAAGACTTACAATGTTATTCTTAAAATATAACCGGACCAATCTTTTATTTATTTATGATTTAATTATCTTGTTTTTAATATACAATACAATATTTATTTTTCTTTATCTGGTTTACATTAAATACTTTATCATTTGTCTAGTCTAATCATTTTTGTTTTTGAACAAAAGAAATCAAAACATGTAGATAGTTGTTGCAGGTGAAGTATCTACATGCATAAATAAAATTTAATTTTTTCTTTCTACTAATATTCATATATACATAACTCGCACATATATTTGCAAACATTATAGTTAGTTAATGTAAATATTTTCCCATACATAACTTTCTCACAATATTTTAGTAGGAATCAAATTACATATTATATTTTGTGTGTTAATTCTACTGTAAGTAAATTTGACACCTATATAATACGTAAGTTAACATGCGAAAATTATGAGTTTTATAAATGCATAAACTTGCTTACTAGTCTATTTCTGTGGGAAATAATTAATTTTAAGTAGTATATTTTTTGTATAAATAGGTCAGATTTTTAATAAATAAATTAACTTCAAACCAAGCAACAAGAAGTTGTTTAATTAAACTATCTAGACTGTCAAGATATTTTTACAATTCATGTCTCCAAAGGTTGACTGAAAAGTTTTTATTTGTTTTTAAAAGATTCATCAGGCATTTTCAAAAGTATATTTTAACGAAGGCTATCTATGTTTTGAATTTGTCAGCGAAAAGCTTACACTGACCTATAATAGTCAATTATACCTGTCCAAAAAATGTTTAAAACAGTGTTAAAAAGCTTTTTAAAAACTTTTAAGAAATGATAAAAAAAATACTTCAATCATATATTGAGTGTGGTCAACAAATTCAAGTAGTTGATGACGAATCGTAAGCGAAACTGATGTTTCTAAAATTGTTTCAAAGAAAAAAAATTTTGAATCCTAAATTTTTTCATTTAGAAATACAAAACATAATTAATAGATGAATTTATAGTGGACACTCTCGTTATTATTCCATTTTGTAATAAAAACATTTTTGTATGACATGGATCATTATAGCACTCAAAAATGTTTTGAGAAATTTGTATGAACATTTGATCCATACAAGAACGATTTTGGATATGGATCATAATGCGTCCCAAATCGAATTTTAAGTGGAGGTGAATCAAAATGACATTGGCGTGAAAAATCATCTTCGAATACCTATGAAAGTGGTCTTAAGTCAGAAATTACGAAGTGACGTATGGATCAAAATACAATCAGCCGACGATTTAATGAATGAAAATAACATTAAGGTAATTTTTCAGGCAAAAATACTTGTAATAATTTTGTTTTTAATATGTCGAATATTAGAAGTTTGAGAGCAAATTTGGATAATTTTGCTTTTTTAGAGAATGATTATTAGGTTTGTGTTTTTGAGAATGAGACGAATACATGGACTAAACAATGTAGGGGTCATAAAACTTTTGTGAACATCGTTTTATAAATCTCAACATAGAATTTGCATTGCTAACCACTTAGTGTAGTAATTGGCGAATGATAGCTTCTTATTAAAGCAAATCCCCAGGTCCTTAATTGAATCAACCTTATTAAGAATATGACCATTTAATGTATAATCTGGAATTATTGACTGTCTCTGTTTGGAATAACACATTAGCGCGTACACTTGTTGCTAGTGCACCATCTGCAAAAGTTATCCACATCACCCTGTAGAGAAACTGCGTCATTTACAGAACGAAACCTCTTGAAAATTTTTATATCATCAGTTTAAATGAACACTCCACTGCAATTCAAAACGGAGGCTAACGAAGAGTAATGGCTGCCCTGGGGAATCTCAGAACAAGTCACAAGCTGTGATGGTATCGATGAACTAAAAAGGACTCTGAATTTCCTTCCAGAAAGATGAAAGCCAGCCCAAATTACAAAATTATTGGGAAATCCAAATAAACTAAATTTCAATAGAATTACGCCTTGTGGTGAAACGTCGAAGATTTTGCTAAAGTCAGCGTAAATTAGATCCGTTTGACATTCATCTTCCACAATATTTAAAAAAAACAAAGACAGTTTCTACCAGATTAGTCACCGTTGATTTCTTTATAAAATTACGCATGCAGCTAATAGACCACAGTTTACCACATAACTTTTGTTGCTTTTCTTATGAATCGGTTTAATAAAGGCTTACTTTCAAACGAAGGGAAAATTCCTGAGGAGTAAGATTTATTGAAAATAAAAGATGGCTGAACTGCTGTAGAAGAACAGCACTTACTCAAAATTATTTCAGGAGTACCAGCAGGTAGAAGTGGTTTCTGGAAAATTATTGGTATGTCGAAAATCATCCAAATGCATAGCAAATGAGACGAAAAAATCACAAACATGTTCAGAAGTTACTGATTAATGCAAAGTGCTAGCTGATTAATGCAAATTGATCCGTCTGTGGCATTTGATTGCTTTATTGATAAATTTTCATATTATGTTAATGAGTGTAGTACAAATTCGTCTATAGTTTCTAGCAAAATGAAAAAATTGAAGCTCTAGATTTCGTCATCACTTGTTGCCAAAATTAACAAACGTAATAAGTTGAGTGAGAAATTGAAAAATAGGAGAATAAATAAATAATTATTATAAAAACTGTGATATAAAAATGGAAGTTAAAGAAAGTAAATACCAATATTTTGTTAATAAGTTTGAACACGTTGAGTGAGAAATTGAAAAATAGGAGAATAAATAAATAATTATTATAAAAACTGTGATATAAAAATGGAAGTTAAAGAAAGTAAATACCAATATTTTGTTAATAAGTTTGAACACGTTAAAGAAAATACTAAAAAAAAGTGGGAATTGATAAATTTTCTGTTGAATGTGAATAACAAGAATAGTAGTATAACACTGGAGGTTGAATCCTTTATTAGTGCTTCTGATAAATGTTGCAACGATTATTATATAAATTGTCATGGGATGAATATTAGATCAAAGTGATAGTTTCCTTTTTGGGCCGATTTCTGGTTTTGAACTTTTGAAAATTATAAATACTATGAAAATTTCTAACTCTAATACTGCAAATTCTGTTTCAAGTAATGTTTTAAAAAATATAATTACGTTTGAGATCAATAATTTATTATAAGCCTGTTTCTCTTCTTTCGTCTTTCTCAAAAATTTTCTTAGGGGTATATTAAATGTAAAATTTTTTTAGGAGTATTGTTAATCACGACATTCTTTTCGAAAGATTGTTAAAGTTTGAATCTTAATTTGTTCTTTGTAGGGTGAACACGTTAAGAATTTTTTTTGCAATAAAAGCAAAACGGAATAAATAAAATAAAAATAAATTAACTTAAAAAAAAAAAGAAGAAAAAAAAAAAATAACTTAAAAAAAAGAAAATAAAGAAAAGAAAAGAAAAAAAAATACTTTACATAATAATTGATTTTGACAATTCAATATTAACTAACTTATTATTTTAAAAACCAAAAATGCAGTGTCTAAAATGCAATAAAAAAATTGAAAGACGGCAGAAATATGTGGAATGTAAAGTCTGCAAAAATCAAACTCATACATCTTGTGCGGGGGGAAGCAGTACTTTACGTGGATTATTCACGTGTAAGAAGTGTAGCATAGCTAAATCTCCACTTAGCAATCTATTGCCAGGATTCATTAGGTCGGAAAGAACTTCGACTTCAGAAACAAAATCTAAAGAAGGCGCTGAAGATGTAAGTCTAGGTATGCTTTACGAAACGATGAAAAGGATCGAGGGCATTCACGAATCATATGTCCAGAAAATACTAACACTAGAACAGGAAAACGTCGTATTAAAAAAGCACATTAATGTGCTCGAAAATAGGCTAGATGATATCGAGCAAAATACTCTCTTACGTTCTATTGATTTAGTGAACATTCAGTTGCTGAGGCTTCGAAAATTCTAAGTACAAGCCTAAATTTAACAATAAAGAGTGAAGACATCGCAGCATGTGACTCCTTTAAAATAAAAACAAGGACGGTAAGTATGCAGATGGAGCAACGAACATTATGAGAGTCGATTTAAAATCAGATGAAGTAAAAAAAGATATTTTTACTAAAAAAAAGGAGTTAAAGGAAATTGATTACAAAGGTAATAAAATTTATATTAACGATAGTTTAACTAGAGGCTAATTTATAGAACTGCTGGGGAACTAAAAATAAAAAAGAAAATTAAGTATATATGGATCAGTAATGGAAAAATATTAATGAAAAAAGATGAAGGAGAAAAAGCAATTATTGTCAAAGACATAAGTCAGTTACAAAATTTTTAATTCAAACATGCTTTCTTCTTCCATTCCACAAAATGATGATATAAAAAAATTTATAATTCACCAAAATATTCGTAGTTTAAGACAAAATTTTAACACGTTCTTAGCACATGTTCAATCTTTATATGAATTACCGCTAGTAATAATATTATCTGAAATATGGATATGTAGTGACGAACAGGATAGCTTCAATATAGATGGTTACGATTTATATTGTAATTGTAATGACACCTATGCTTCTGGTGGAATAGCAGTATATACTAGGTCTAATTTAGCAAATAGTCTTTATTCGATTACTATAAGTACGGCGGATATTATAAAATTAAGTTGTAATTTTGAAGGCATAAATTTCGTATTTATAAACTTGATAGGCATAAATTTGAAGGCATAAATTTTATGTATTTATAAACTTGATAATTCAGGTTTTAATTACACAGTGTTTTTGGACAGTTTATATTATGTACTAAGAAATGAAAAAAATAATAACGTGCTGGTAATTGGAGACTTGAACATTGACTTCATAAAAGAAACCACTTTAAAAGATAATTATGTACGTATGATGTCGTGTCATGATTTATTGCCACTTATAGAGTCACCAACTACAATTAGAAATGCCTGCATTGATCATATTTT